TAAATTATTTGACCATTTGTTCTGTTGTCAGGATCTTAAAATCATTCCATATGTTCACTGTTATAACAGTGATTTAATGAACTGCACAAAGCCAACTCTGAGAGTTTTTAATGATTTTCTTAAGCTGGATAATTAAAACTGAGATTTAAAATGTTGTATCTCTTAGTGTATTTTCCTCAAATTCTTTTAAATAAAGTGCACCCAAGAGCAAGATGTGGAAAAATCTTGAATCTTTAAAACTGTAAATTAAAATTAAAAAGAATATTAAAAAGTGTTAATTTCAACTTAAAAAGAATGCTATCTTAGGGTTACTTTTCCTATTCTGGGTAGATGCATTTCTGTCTTTGTAATTTTTTTTTTGTTGCTGTTGTTTTTCTATGCCTATTTGTTAACGGAGATCTGGGGACCAATGGTAAGAGGTTGTGCTGCCAACATGAAGGATTATGGTTGAAATCCACCAGATACTTCATGGGAGAAGAATGGACAATCTCCTCCCATGTGATTTGCTGTCTCTGAAAACCCACTGGAGGGTCAACTATGCAGCTGGTTCTCACTTGATGACAAATAACAACAACAGGCCTGTCAAGCTGTAAGGGGATTGCTAATCAGTAAGGTATTTAAATTTTAAAGTTCACAACTCTTTTTTTAAAGCATCCATAGAATATAAAATGTGAATCTGCATTTGAGTAAATCTTAAATTCATGTGCTGGCTGTTTCAGTTAAAAGCTCAGGATGATTCCCCGTCTCTGAGCTTTGCTCCTCTTTTCTGTAAGTATGCTTATGTTCCTTCATGAGACTTCAGACAGACTTACATAAGATAAAACTCGTAAACTGTTTAAAACAAAGTCTGGTAGACACTAATTACCAAGTCAGAGTGAGTACTTACTGTATAATGTTATTATTAAACTTATTGGCATTCACTTCCTTAACAACATGCCTTTGGAAACTCTATGAACTTTGATGAATGATGACAGTTATAGAAAGGCTTCAGTTCTTTTGTTCATAGGGTAGCTATGAGTAGTGAGCGACTTGATGGCAATCAACAACAACAGCATTATGTCATTATTATAAAAGAGAACTGACATTCTCTTTTTATATTTTCATAAGTTTTAAAATAATTTTTATAAGTAATTTTCTTTTTTAACAATTAAATCTTTAAAACTAATAATATTAAGAGGCTTATGATAAATTGCTTTCTTATTACTGAAGCAATGAGTTCTGATGGCCTAATGGGTGAGGAGTTGGACTCTCAACCCCAAAGTAGGCAGTTTGAATCCAATAACTGCTCCATAGGAGAAAGACAGGCAATCTCTTTCTATGTGATTTAGGGTCTCTAAAAGTCCACTCAGTTCTGACTGCATGGCAATAAGTTGCATTTTGTTGAGGTATCTTATTATTTTTGCCCTCAAAGAGTACTTAAGGTGCACCCTCCCCAAGACATATCTACTTGTTCTCTTGGCCATCCATGGGTTGTTCAGTGCTCTTCTCCAGCATCCCAGCTCAAAGGCGTCAATTATTCTTCTGTCATCCTTATTCACTGTCCACCTCTCAGATGCATAATAATTGATCAGAAACAGTGATCAGGAAGCCTGAATCAGAAGCACCTTAGTCCTTAAACTGATATCATTACTCCTCAATAATTTGGAGAGGTCCCTAACTGCAGACTTTTCCAGTGCTATACATCTCTTGATTTCCTGACTGCTTTTATCAATGGTGTTAAATATGTATTCAAATAAGATGAAGTTGTTGATAGTTTAAATCTTTTCTCCATCTATCAAGATGTTGTCTATTGGTCCAGTGTTGTTAAGAATATTTTATCTGGACATCAAGATACAATCCATATTGAAGGCTATATTCTTTGATTCTCTGCAACAAGTGCTTCAAGTCCTCCTCACTTTCAACAAGTAATCAGTTGTGGGTCAGAAGCCTCTTATTTAAACCAATTAGGACCCGGTGGATGGGCCTTTGTGATTAAAAGTTTGCTGGGCCCATATCAGGTATGAAAACTGATTTACTATTAGAGTTACAAACTAAATTGTCAGTTTGTTGTGTTTGGGGAGAAGATTATTCTAATTGGTACAGCACTTGTCTGTCAGTTTGCAGTACGAAGATAACTTGTGGGTTGCTTTGATACTGAAAGCTGGGCTACCAGTGTGTCAAATGCTGCAGGGTTTACCAATGGCAAACAGGTTTTAGCAGACCTACCAAATTAAGACAGACTAGGAAACAGGATTTCCCATCCACTTCTTAAATAACAAGCCTCTGAAAACCCTATGAACAGTAAGAGGAACATGTAGCGATAGTAGTAGTGGTAGGGCCCAGATTGGAAGTCAGTCAAAATGAGGAAAAATAATGGCAAACATTGTTTAATAGTTGGAACCTGGAAGGTACACAGCTTCAATGCTGGAAAACTAAAACTTTTGAAAAATGAAATGAAACACATGAACATCAACATTTTAGGCATTAGTAAAATCAGATGAACTAGCTTTGGCCACTTGGAACCAGATAATCAATACTGCATTCTATGCATCCACTTCCTGAACAAGATGCCTCTAAAAACTCCATGAACTTTGAGAAATGATGATAGTTACAGAAAAGCTTCAGGTTTTTTGTTCATAGGGTCACTATGAGTCATGCTCGACTCAACGCCAATCAATAACAACAACAACAGTGCTCGCAATAAAAAACAGAATGATGTTGCATTTGTAGATCAAAGTCAACTTCAAGTTCTATCCTGAAATACAATATGTTCAATAGGTATAGTGAAATGATACAAGCGTAACGTACCCCTTTCTTGATCCCAAGCCATGCAGTCTGAGCTTGTTCTATTTGAATGACTAATTCTTGGTCTGTGTACAGTCAATATATGAATACGATTAAGAGTTCCAGAATTCTTGCTTCAATGTTATCCATGATTTATTAAGACACACACATTAAAATAGCTTTTCACTGTCAATAAAACACAGGTTAAAACTATATTTCTTTTTCATGGCAACATATAAATTATCTCATAATAAAAAGGGATATTATTTTTATTACAATATACTGAACATATTTTATTCAATTGAAAGAATTCAATATCCTGAAGAATTTCTGAACATGAACCCATTTGATTTCAGATAGATCTTTGATATTTTTTAGTGGTATTGTGTGTTAGTAAATTTCTTTCACTTCAGACAACAGAGTAATTTACCAACAGTTGGCCCATTATGGTTTTGGAACTTCTTTTAAACAGACTATCATCAAGAGAGCTGAAACAGCAACTGTGTACTGGAAATAACTGCAGAAATGTTTTCCCACTGGTTGGAAATCAAACATATGCTTTCCTGTAACAACTAAAATACAACTTTCTTTATTGCTGTATGATTGTAATTAAGGAGTTAATTAGTTAAACACCTGCACTGTCAGAATAGTTGCTGTAAAATTCTCATATAGATTCATTCATCTATATATTTACTGTTTACAATATTTTCAATACTACCACTGTTTTGTTGTTGACTGCCATCGAGTCGAGCACACCTTACAGTGACACAATGAACAAAAGGCCTGAAGCCTTTCTATAACTATCACCATTTATTAAAATTCATAGTTTCCAGAGGCATGTTCTTTAGGAAGTAGATGCCACACCTGCTTTAAAAATACTACTGCTCTCTACTAAAACTGGAGCTCTAGTGTCATAGTAGTAAAAAGTTGCACTGCAATTCTGAAAGCACAGGGTTCGAATCCACAGCTGTCCATGGGAGAAGATGGGCAATGTCTTCACTGCCTCTGAAAGCCCACTGGAGGGTCAGCTACGAGTTGGCTCCAACGCGACAGAATGCAAAAATAACTAGAAGTATTCTTCTTGAGGAAAATACATATTAACAAAGGAATAAAACCAAACTCTTTGTAAACTTTCACTAAAAATAAAAAAATGCAATCATTTCAAAGGCCGTATCTGTACCTTACAGAGAAAGAGCTCACTCACCTTTCCCCAAATCTATTCAGTATATAAAGAGCTTTGATGGTGCAGCAAGTTGTACTGCTAACCCCAAAGCTAGGCTCCCTGGAAGTTCAAATCTAGCAGCAGCAGCTCAGGAGAGAGCTAAGAAGTCTCCTGTGTGCTCCACACCAGCAGAAACCAATGCAGGGTCACTATAACTTGGACCTGACTCGAAGGGAATGAGTTTGAGTTTGAGAGTATTCAGTGTTTGGAACTAATTTGAATCTGTCATGGTAAGCAGTCTTCTGTTTCTACTATATTTCTAATCCCTTTGCACTTCTATTGACGAGATTTTGTAACAGCCTTCACAAAGTCCTGTGTTCTTTTTCTATGAACTCTTCAAGTCTCTTTAACTTATCAATTTTAAAAGGAATGCTCAGCAGAGGAGAGATGATTTGCCTTTGCTTTCCAAGTTTAGATTGCTTTCATGAATGCTGAGAACCGTGTCATTTCCTTATGGAGAAACTTGGGTGATTTTAATGTTTCTTTAAGGTAACAGTCAACAAGAAGCATGTTCATATCCCCGAGGAGGTTTCTTCAAAGATCACGAGCACCAATTAACCGCATAGTTGTATTATACAACTAGAGATGAGGGAGGCTTATGCATTTCAGAACGTTCTTCTAGGTTCCCTAAGCCACCTTAGAACAAACACAAAGCTGTCTTCCTAAAATTAGAAGACTGTGGTTCCTTATGGCTTTTCAGTCTGTCTAGTTCATTCTTCTATCCAAGTAGGCATGGCTTCCCAGTGGAAATAATTAGTGAGGAAGAACTGTGCTGCTAACGCAAAGGTATGTGGTTCAAATCTACCAGCTGCTTCGAGGGAGAAAAAAAGGTTTTGTCATCGCGTGCTATCAACTGTCTCTGAAAACCCGCTAGAGGGTACGCTACGGGTCGGTTCTGATTTGATACACAGCAACACTTTTAATACACAGTTTTTATACAAAACAACTATCTTCATAGAAAATCAAGAGGGCAGGAAAGGAAGGGAGATTAAGAGGGAGAGAAAGATTGAATTACCTTCTGTATCGTAATGATTCCTTCTTGTGTGTCTTTGTCAACAGAAATCTTGAAAATCCCTAATCCATCACCGTCCACAATCTTGTACTCCATCTCGGCATTTACCCCTATATCTGCATCAGCAGCTTTGATCCTGGCTACTACCGACGCCACGGGCAATGATTCCGGGACATTGTATTGGTAGGACCCTGTGAAATGCAGAGCAAAAATGATCAAGCGACAACCCACTACTGAAAACCTAGCTCTGAGACTGGTTTGCAGCTACTCTGCTGTTTATTTTTCCCAGTAAAGAAGATAAGAACGCAGTATGAGGCAAATAACAAGGTTCCTAGAGCTTTGGGAAATCGATGGGGAACATGATGCTAATTACGATGCGACAGCAGAAACAGATGTCCCACTGAGAGGCAAGGGGAGGCAGTTCCATTTTCTATATTTTGAGAGGTGAGAAAAATGTTACTTTTAATTATCACAAATAAATTTTTAAAAGTATTCTGATAAAATGTCACTGAAACATAAAACCTAAACAGTTCCAATCGCTTAATGTTGGAGTTTACTAGATATTATTTACTATGAAAGTTCCACACAATTTCACAAGGCTGTGAGGGATAGTATTTATCTTCTTTTAACTCATAAATTTTCCATGCACTAGAATCCTTTTGTTTAGCATCTATGTAGACCTGATTTGTAACCCAACAGAATCTTTCTTACTATTTAGATTTTTAAAACCAGTATTATATCACCATAAGTAATATTATTTGAAGAAAGGATAAAAAAGCAAGATGTAGTGCTTCAAATATTTAGCAACAAAACCCTTCTTTTGTTAAAATTCATTTTAATTTTCCAGCTTAAAAAAATGTGAGATGAGCAGAGTTATGCAGGCCATGACTGAGAGATGAAGGCGTTGTCAGAAAGCCCTGCTCCTTCTCTCTTTCCCTTTAATTTACTTTCTCTATGTCCTGCTCTGCCATCCTTGTCCATGAGTTGATGAAACTGGCACAAAGTGCCCCGCACTTTGGTCCATGTAAAGGGATAAGGACATATTGCTGTGGTTATTGCCTAACCTTTGTGAAGTTATTGATTTAAAACAAAAATGACCATAACCTATGGTCCTCCTCTATGAGACTCCTCATGCATATCTAGTCATGAACTTAGTCAAATTCAAAAGTTTCAAGAGTACAAACAGCAATTCCATAGCAGAGAAAATGCCAGCAGACATGGAAGAACCTAACGAATATCCTTGATCTGAAACACTCGAGAAAATGTGGGATATATTCCATCGAAGCTTGACAAAGAGAGCAAAACTCACAAAGAGAACAAGCACGTCTTAATTACAAGACTTAGCACTACAGACTTAAAAGCAAGACCAACTCTTCATTTTAGGATTGTTGATCTTTTTGCTATTGTATACCACTGACTTGGGACCAACTCACAGCTGACCTTCCAGAAGGATTTCAAAGGCAGTCAATTACACAGAAGGAGAACACCCATTTTTCTCCCATGGCACAGCCAGTGGATTTAAACCTCCTAACTTTGAGATGGAAGCACATCTTCTTATGATTAGGCCACCAGAGCTCTTTATGATTAGCACATAATAACAACATTACTACTTCCATTGTTCATATTCCAGCTTCCCTTCTCATCCACAACAGAATCAAGGCTGGATCATTTAAGAAACAAATTGTAACCTTGGGGGTCATTTCCCTCCTTGTATTATCTTGAAATGTTTAATGTAGAACAACATCAACTTTTAAAAATATATAAAATTGGGGCAAAGGTCAAGGTTTGGTTGTTTCATAGGTTACTATGTGTCATAGGTGATTCAATGGCACCTAAAAATAATGTTAAATTAAAACAAATCCTCTAAATAGGCTACGTTTGAAAAGATTATAGGGGTCTACGGATCTATGTGTTCTACGTACTCAGAGAGCCTCTTAACTTGACATCATTTGCATCTAATATCTGTTTATAAGAGTGGTTACTTCCCTTCCCCTGTGAAGTAAGCATCTGAGAGGGATTGAAGTTGGTAAAACCTACTTATTTTCCCCATCATCCTGAAAACACAGCACGTACATTAAATTCTTCCACTAGAAAAAGCAGTAACTAAAAGTGAGATACATTTTTTTGTTTGTTTGGTTGGTTGTTTTTTGTTTTGCTTTGTTTTGTTTTTACAAATAGAACACCTCTATGTAGAAGGGAACTCACTTTTTCTTGGTTACAGCAAAAACCACTTTGATCCAAAAAAAGCTAAATTGAGGTCACGTGCTTTCTTGGTCTTTTAGATTGATTTCTTTTGAAACATAAACTATTTTTCAAAAGAAAAATGTACCAGAATTGCTAAATAAAAGTGCAGTGTGCATGAGAGAGTTAAAAAAAGTATGCAATGGAAAATACAACCAATAGATACTCTCCTAAGTTCTGCTTAAAATATTATTTTAGGTTGTACAAGAGGAATTTTAAAGGGAAATAAAATTTAAACCATCTGAAGAATCCATACTTGAAAAGAACCTAGAGACCCATTTATACATTATACCCGCTAACAACTCAATTTGACATCAGTTATATCCCAGATGTGTTTGTAATTGAGTTTAGTTCTTGTGGAATCATAAGGTGTATTTAAACACTAGATTGATTCAGTGAATGGGGTAATCGGGGTGGGTGTGTCAGAGACAGTGTGATTGGCACAGAATAGAGCAGGGCTTAGGGCTGTTGTATATAGGGTCACTATGAGTCGCAAGCAACCTGATGGCACATAACAACAACAATTAAATTTTTAAAATTTTCATAATATATTAAAAGTATGAGTTTGGGATAAAAAAGCTAAGGCACAAAAAAGATGAACTTCTTACTATCCAAGAGAGAAATGAAAAATATTTTGAAGATAGGATTAATACAAGTATCTGATTGCTCCTATTTGTTTTAAACATTATCATCATTTCACATCCCTGGAATGAAAATCACACATCACCAATGAGAGAATAGATTTGTGGAGTACGCACTAAGAGAAGTAGTTATTTGTGAAATAGTTGAAGAAGTAGACATCCAAAGAAATATCTTACTTCGTGGGAAGCGAGGTGGATTATCGTTGACATCAGTGAGCGTCACGGTGACTGACGTCGTGCCTGAGAGTCCGCCGTTTTGACCAACCATATCCTTTGCCTGAATAACAAGCAAATACTGGTCTTTAGCCTCTCTGTCCATGTTGGGAAGGGCAGTCTTGATGACTCCTGTAAAATTTCAAATCCCAGTAAAACGCATCATGAATCATGCCTTGCTGCTAACAGAGAACATACAGGTAGCAAGTGACTCTTGGGTACATGCCTTTGCTTTGTTGACTTTTCATAAGTTGTATGTACATTAAACACCAAACAGAGAATCTTTACTCAATATTAAAAAACAAAACAAAAAAACATGGCAAGTGGAAGAGAAAAGTTTCCCAATATAGAGGAGGATTACCATTAGGAGAGGATTATCATTGGTAGTAGGGTTTCCTGGTATAGGAAAGAATTATTCCTGCGGTTAGGCAAATAATACAAGAATAAAACCAAGGGAGTTCTTGTCTTAAATAATGTGCAGTCAAGTGTACGGTAAAGAACGTTCCGTGTCTTTTCTTTCATCCTTTCCAGTTTCCAACAATTGACCTCCCTACTCCCACTGTCAGCAAGTCAATTCCAATACACAGTGACACTATAGGGCAGAGTTGAATTTCTTGAGAGTTTAAAACTGTCATTTTTACCAAAGAAGAGTCCCACATCTTTTTTTCTGCTAAACTGTTGGTGGGTTTGAACTGGTGACCCTTGGTTTGGCAGGTAAATACCTTAACTACAACACCACTAGAGTACTACTGATTTCCCAGAAGACTTGAAATCAGCATGAACCTTTCAGCTCTGATCCCAACTTTACCTGAGGTACTCTGCAAAGATCAGCATCATCTATATTTACTAAGGACAGAACCATCTCAGTGTATGGTTGTGATTCAGATGGCCTCACACTGCATTGAATAAGTCGAGAGACAGCACTGAAGATGAGAATCACTGTGTTGATAGCCATCCAGGACACTGGTGACCTCTCTGATGTTGTTTGCATCTATCAACTGTGTTTAAGGTTGACAGCCGACATTAAGACTTTGGATGTGTGAGAAATTGATTTCAGAATTTCATGGTGTTGGGTCCGGATATTTGACTCAATAGTTACTGATATGTGAATTAGTCATTTTACAGTAATAAGGATTTAATCAAATGGCAATTTATTAGATAATGAAGATATGTAACGGTGAGATGGAACTGTCCTTGCACTTATTTTAACTAAACTTCCTGCAAATATGTAAGATGACACACGCCCAATATACTTATTAACATAAAAGCAGTTATAGCAAATGGAAAAGTGCATATTTAGTACTGACCTATATAACAGACCTTTAAATGAACCTGAGAGCATTCTCACTAAGGACATAGACAATGTCTCCAGTTATCTACCAGACCATTTTGGGAAGGGAGTATGAAGAGAGTCTACATTGCTAACCAATAATCATCACTGACAGGTTTCTAGACTGTGAATCACATGGGAGGGGAGCACCTGTTTTTCTCCTAAGGAGACACTGGTGGATTTGAGCTGCACGAGACGGATGATTATTTATTAAATGCATCTTATTGCCATTCAACACTGAGCATAAATAATCTTTTAAATATAGTCATGAAAACCAAAAGAAACATTCATATACCCATGAGGATTAACTGGTAAATGTCTGAGAGACATTCTTTTTAGTGCTGTGATTTCAGAAATGTCATAGTTTCACTAAAATTAATCCTTACCTATAATAAAATACTGACTAACACTATAATCCAAATTGAGCAATCTACTTTTAAAAGTTCTCACTCTCATAGCTGCATCTTTTTCCTATTAAATATCTTTACAGTCTTTTGTCTGTTTAAAACAAGTTTGAGGAGGCAGCCTGTATTGGATTTTGAATGAATCAGGGACTTCTTAAAAAATAAGTATGTCTTGGAAGATATGCAACCAGAATGTTCTAGAAACACACCCGCTATGTAACTTTACCTTTCTGTCACATATTTTGGGCATGTCATTGGAAGGGACCAGTTCATGGAGAAGGACCACATGCTTGACAAAGTAGAAGCTCAGAAAGAGAGAGGAAGATCTTAAAGGTGGTGGATTGTCACAGTGACTGCAACAGTGGGTCCCAGCACTGTGGTAAGAGGATGGTTCAGGGCTAGGCACTGTCCTGTTCGGCTGCCCACAGAGTATCTACAGGTCTGAAAAGACTTGACGGCATCTAACAACGATACTAAATTCCTGACCAAACAGTCTGTGTCTTCACTAGATGACAGAACACTTATAAGACAATAAATTATATCAAACATGGATTTCTGCTTCAAGTTTTCATTTCTATTAACCTTCCCCTTTTCCGACTTATAACATATATGAGTTATAATTGTTGAAGGAGAACAGCCCATCACGTTTGAACTAATCAACAGTACCAGCACCGTGGCCTCAGCTTCACATGGTCCTGTTAGTAGCTTTATTTCTCAAATGAAACGCAGCACCATTTGGAGAGAAGTCAGGTAGTCAACGTTACTAATTTTTTACACCTCTAATTGTCTCTTTACAAGTGATCCTATAAATAACATTCTACTAAGGCAAGAATCATCACAAAGTTTACAAAGCAGGTGGCGTAGGCAATTTCCAAATATCTAGACCATTAAACTAATTTTTTTCTAAGAACCTAGTTACTGGGTTAAACAGAATTTCAGTATGAACCCTGAGTAATAATAGTCTTCCAGCTGCTTGATGTTTGCTAGCTTTTACTTTTAAGTAAAAAAACATCCACTTTTAGAAAAAAAATTCTCAGACACTGGTTTTGCTTTGTGTTTTGTTGATGCCTATGTGTCCATGTGTATAAAGTAAAACGTACAGACGCCAGAATCTGTATAAAGTAATAACCTGTCAAGAGAAGGAAATGTAAATATTTCCCACTATCAGCACCAGAAAAAAAGATAAGACTGAAACCTGTCAAAGGTAGATAACTTGAGAAACCTAGAAAGACAAGGTCTTCCTTCCAGTCCCAGCTCTTTCAGGTTTCACAAAAAAAAAAAAAAAAAGCTAACGGTATGTGTGTGCGCGCGTGGGTGTGGGGCATGAGGGAGGGAGGGAGGCAGGGAGAGGGAGGGGAGGGAGAGAGAGAGAATATGAATATGGATGGATGGATGGTCTGAATAAATTAGGGCTAATTTCATCTAACCAGTGCTCTACAGTTTTGTGAGACATCAATATCTGATGATAATGTCTTTTCTTTTCAGCAAACAATAATATTCCTCATCACTGTGATGAGGGAAAACTACCCTGTAGCTCTTCATAGAAGAGACTGATTTTAAGCTTGGAAGCCTAAGAATTTCTCCACAGATATGCATACAAGCCAGCAAGCCAAACCTTCCCAGGTATTCATAACATAAAGTCACAATAAGCATTTTAAAAATAAATTTAATTTTTTATTGTTATTGCTCAACAATTATTTTTTTTAACGCCTGGGTAAAAACTGTCTCATGAGTTTCTACCATTCTATAAGCTGATGACCAGTGTGTGTGTGTGTGTGTGTGTGTGTGTGTGTGTGTGTGTGCGCGCCTTCTGTTACCGGGAATTCTTTAAGGATTTGATGTGTATACCATATGAGAGAGAAAAAATACATTTCTACAATCTTCTACAAGTTATTGCTGTTGTTGTTGAAAACTATGAAGTCAGAAATGACTCTTCCTGCAGGTTTTCAAAGGCGGTGAATCCTATGAGAGGAGACTGCTAATCTTCCTTTCAGGGAGCAACTGACAGATCTGAACCGTGTGCCCTGGAGTTGGCAGAGCAGTTCTTTCCCACTAATTACCAGCAGCAGGCCTGCGGTCTGCATTCTGGACACGTCAATTTGGGGATCCAGTGGCCACGTGGAACACAGGCTTGGACTATTTATGCTGTGAGTCTGAACACACTGAGACTGTTCTGACTAAAACCAAGTCAATAGTTGGATGTTGCTTTGAGGTCCCCACTGTTACATGGGGAAGGCCGATACCTGAAAGCAGCCTTTTCTGTAAAGCAATTCGTTGAGGACAGAATTGCCTGTGACACCCAGGGTTTGGCCTGATGAGATGGATTCACACAGTGGAGTGGCTGCAGCAGTAAGCTAAACACAGCGGAGACTGAGGGGACTGAGAAGGAATGGGCAACTTTCCTTCTGCTGTGCACGGGGTCGGCCGGCCAGCGCTGACTCAAGGGCACCTAACAGCAACATGAACATCGTCATCCTCCTCTCTCTACATTAAGACCACTCTTTTATTTTTGATTTCTCCTCCTTTTTAATTCATTTTCATCCACTGACATATTTACGTATTGTTTTATAATATTAATTGTCAATATCCAATTCCATTATTTATAACAGCTACTCTAGAAACTCTAAAATGAGAACGGTAGACCAGAAACTCCAGTTTCTCTTTTTTTAAAAAAAAACCACAGTTTTTTGAGGGCTCCTATTTGTGGCTCCGGCTAGGAATCACCACGCCCACTGTGATCTAAATCTCATCTAGCCCTCACCATCATCATCTTCACCCAGGTCAAGCCCATTGCTGCAGTAACTATTGCAATCATGTTGTGAAGGTCAACCTCTGTTACCGATCATTTGCTACTTCTCAAACATAATGTCTTTTCCAATGACTGGCATTCCCTGACAACATGCTTAAAGTGTGTAAGATGGAGTTTCACCACCTTTGACTCTGAGGAGCATTTCCTCCATGGTAAATCTGTCTGTCCTTCTGGCAACCCACGGTATATTTAACACTCTTTACCAACACCATAGTTCAAGGACACCCATTTCTCTTTGGTCTTCCTTACTCATTGTTTAATGTCCACATGCATGGGAAACAAAAACACCTTAGTCTTTAAACATCCTTGCTCTTTAGCATTTTAATAACATATGTTGGCAGACAAGGCTCATGAAGGAACTCATGCCACTTAGTCCAGCCGTCGCCACAAGGGTTGGTCTACTCATGAGAGAGGACCGCTGAAAGACACGTGGATGTAAGCATCTGCATATGGATATATAAGAGTTGGAAAGCCATGCTGCATTATTATTTTGTGTTTATTTTTTTATTTTAATGGAAATCATTGCAGAATGTTAACTTCTTTGGGGTCACATGTAGAAATAACTTTTGTGTGAATATAATCATATAAT